CTACCTCAGCAGGGCAGCAGCCCCCCAGTTCCCACGTGTGAACGCTGATGTCACTGTTGTCCAGCTGAGGGGAAAGGGTGGCTTGTGTTGGTAACTTTTCAGTGTTTAATTACTAATGGGCAAGTTGTAATTGTTGTGGGTTCCACGTGATGTTTTGATAATGGGTGCCACACGGCATGATTACCTCGCAGTAATGAGTGTAGCTGTGTGGGGGGTTCTCTGGCAGGTGGGGCGTGAACCGTGTTATTATCTGGGGACACTGTGCTAGCGCTCAGGATCAGCTCGTCCTCCCCCTGCTGGCTCTCATCATCCTTGGTCCCCCCGTGCCAGAGGGGGGAGCTGGGTCACAGACACCCACCGGCTTGGCTCCCTTTTCTCGTCCTCACCTCTACTTCTTTTTTTTTTTAAGATTATTTTATTTTTATTGTAAAGTCAGATATACAGAGAGAAGGAGAGACAGAGAGGAAGATCTTCCATCTGATGATTCACTCCCCAAGTGACTGCAACAGCTAGAGCTGAGCCAATCCAAAGCCAGGAGCCAGGAGCTTCTTCCAGGTCTCCCACACAGGTGCAGGGACCCAAGGCTTTGGGCTGTCCTCGACTGCTTTCCCAGGCCACGAGCAGGGAGCTGGATGGGAAGCGGAGCTGCCAGGATTAGAACCGGCGCCCCTATGGGATCCTGACGACTTTAGCTGCTAGGCCACTGCGCCAGGCCCCGTACTTGTCTTCTTGATCATCACCATTCTGACAGATATGTTACTTTTTTTTTTTTTTGCCAAGGCCGCCAAATGGAGCCCGTCTTGTGGGTCACGCCCCTGGAGGACTTGCAGCCGGAGCAGGGCACCCATCCCCCCGCTGAGCATGCTCGAGTCGGGAGCCAGGCTGGGCCAGCAGGCGTTCTGACGGACACATGCCACGTCAGCGGGATCTCTAATCCTACGGAACTTCCTGAGCGCGGCCCAGCGGCACGCAAGTGGACTTGGTTTGCACACCGCCTCTCCTGGTGTCGCTTGGCTTGGCTGTGGACGAGCTCCTGGGGTCGTGTGATGCTGTCACTGACCGCAGCTGTGAGCCTCTCCCTGGTGTCCCTGCACCGCGGGGGCTTCAGTGTTCATTCGGACTTGACCTGTTTAAACGTGACGAGCAGAGGGTCCAGCTTCATGCTGCTGCGTGTGGACGGCAGCTTCCCCTGATCCTTTGTCTCCTGCTGTGTTCAGGCATTTGTCCTGGGCTCTGCCCGCCGTCCTGGCTGTTTTAACACCAGTGCTTCCTTACGATGCCGTCTCACAGGTCCGCAATGTGAGGTACTTCAAAAGTTCACAGAAAATGGGAGATACCCATGTTTCGCAGGAGAAAGAACTTGGCTAATGGTTTATTGGCTTGTTGTCTGCGTCCCCACCAGTTCCCCGTGACAGGGTGCGTGTCTCAGCCTGTCGCAGCGCTCAACTCCAGCTTCCTCCAGCCGGCACAGTCACCTCGCTGCTCATCAAGAAAACGCTCCCAATGTAGAATTGTTTTTATTTGATGGTGTCAATGTTGTAGCACAGTGGGTAAAGCCACCACTTGTGATGCTGGCGTCCCACATGGGCTCCAGTTCTGTCAGTAAAAATAATGTAGCTTATTGATTTGAAAGACAGACTTCAGAGAGGGAGAGAGGCCTGTAATTGCCTCCTAACAGCTGGGGCTGCGCTAGGCTGAACCCAGGAACTTCAGGCTCACTCTGTGTAAATCTGATTTTGTAATCTAAAAAAAGTTTCCAGGCTTATTTTTATTGGAAAGGCAGATTGACAGAGGAGAAACAAAAAGTTCTCCCATCAGCTGCTTCATTCCCCAAATGGACACACCGGCTGGAGCTGAGGCGATCTGAAGGCAACAGCCTCATCTAGGTCTCCTGTGCAAGTGCAAGTCCCTCTACCCCTTCCCAGGCCACAAGCAGGGAGATGGAAGTGGAACAGCCAGGACTTGAACCTGTCCCCTTATGGGATGCCAGTGCTTGGAACATGAAGATTGGCCAACTGAGCCATTGTGTTGGACCCAAAAGATAAGTAAATCTGGAAGCCATGAACATAGGGGATATTTCCACTTTCTTATTTTCCTTGGAAAAGTCAGATATACAGAGAGGAGGAGAAACAAAGAGGAGGATTTTCCATCTGTTGATGCACTTCCCAGGTGGCCACAACGGCTGGAGCCGAAATGATCTGAAGCCAGGAGCCAGGGCCTCTTCCCGGTTCTCCATGTGAGTGCAGGGTCCCAAGGCTTTGGGCCGTCCCCGACTGCTTTCCCAGGCCACAAGCAGGGAGCTGGATGGGAAGTGGGGTCACTGAGATATGATCTGGCACCCACATAGGATCCTGGCACATGCAAGGTGAGGACTTAAGCTGCTAGGCTAGCGTGCCTGGCCCAACTGCCTTATACCTTCAGCTTCACCCAGTTTAGTTTCCAGCATTCAGTGTATCCTGGAGTGCTTATTTGCAGCTTAGGCTTTTCAACAGCTGGTCTTGTACCAAAACACCACTGTGTGTGGCTTTGCATCTTCCAGAGGTGATTTGGATGGAGGTGACCGAGCTGGCCCCACTTGAGATCGTGCTGCTGGCATGATGCCACGTCTTCCTCTGTGGGAGCCTTCTCGACTCCCAGCACTAGGCTCACTGCAAGGCTGCCTCACCTGCTTCCCGATTTTAGAGAGGCATTTAGCTTCTCACACACTCATCAGCCATAGGAGTCTCAGGTAAGGGCTCTTGGTGTTAAGTTCATTCTTTGCCCGATTTGTTTAGAATTCTACCATGAGGGCCCAGTGCAGTAGCCTAGTGAATAGTCTTCTCCATGCATGTGCCAAGATCCCACATGGGCGTCAGAAAGCCCACTTCCCATCTAGCTCCTTGCTAGTGGCCTGGGAAAGCAAAGATGGCCCAAAGCCTTGGGACTCTGCACCCGTGTGGGAAACCTGGAAGAAGTTCCTGGTTCCTGGCTTCAGTTCAGCACAGTTCTGGCCATTGTGGCCACCTGGGGAGTGAATCAGCGGGTAGAATCTTCCTGTCTCTCCTCCTCTCCGTACATCCAAATTTCCAACTTAATAAATAAACAAAAAAGACGTTACCATGAAAGGATGCCGGACCTTACCTGGTGTTTTTCTGAGCATCTGCGTGCTGGCCCAGGACCCTGAACACAGCATCTGCTCCTTAGTCACGGCTGCAGTCCTGCCTTCCCAGCACACACCCCTCACCCCGTCTGCCGGCCCAGGGGCTCAGGGTTTCCTCGCCTTGTCCCCGGATCATTCTGTAAGACTGCCCTAACCCATCATGGCAGCAACACCTTTTGCAAAGAACACATGATTTATTACAGACAACTCGTCAACAGCATTGATTGAGGGGACGAGACAATGACCGACCAAGCAGACCCGCAGGCCCTCTGCAGTGAGGCCTGCTGTGTGCACACAGCCCGGCCTGTGAGCGGGCAGCCTCAGGCACTCAGGCTCCACGGGAGGGCCAGGGCATGTTCCCTGCCCTGGCAGCTGCCAGCCTTACCCAGACACGGCCGCTGGCTCTCGAGGCAAAGGAGCAAGCCTGGAGCCAGCTCTGCCGCTGGGCCAATCAAACGTAGTGATTCAAGTAGCATGGTCCCAGGCAGGAGGATGGGGTCAGGCAAAGGGAATGCATCTTGTGTCCCAGGCAGTGTCTGCCGGACCCCAAGCATGGCCCGAGCTTCAGGCTGCCGGCAGATCCTGGGTAGAAGGGGCCCAGGCTGGCAGGACGCGTGTGTGACTGGCTGCCCCAGGGCTCCTGGATGGTGGCGAGGGAACCAGGTCTCTGGTCCCACATGCTCAGAACCTCCCACCAGGTCCCACTGGAAAACCCGTGAGATCCAGGGGCAAGGGGAGAAGATGCTGATTTTGGGAAATTTAGCCCTTCAGCACTCACACTGTCAAAGCGGGGAGAGCCTGGGAAAGGAGGCAGGTGGGTCCCTAGTGGGGCTGTGCCAAGCAGAGGAAGGCATGAGGGGCAGGAGGGCTGCAGGGCCTGGCTCCTTGGCTCCTGCCTGCCACCCTGTTACACAGCCTTCTGGACTCGACACCTGTTCTCTCCAGCAGCAAGTGCAACTCCTGCCTGAGATGCTCTGCCCCAGGCAATCGCCCAAACCCTGCGACGCCCAAGCACGTGACCAGAGAAGGGCAAGTGCTCCTCTCTACCCTCTGAGTGGGGCATGGGCTCTGGGGGTGCAGACTTGCCAGGCCGAAGGCTGGGCAGCTTTGGTGGAGCAGGTGGTGCCAACCTGGCAGTTACCACTAGGTACTCTTCCTGGGGCGGGGACCCCCACATCTCCTCCTGAACCCCGGGACAACAGGCTCAGCACACCTACGGCTGCCATTTCTCAGCAGCCGTGGGCTGGTCCTGGGGACTGGGCTCCGGACCTCCCTGGCTGGTGCAAGGCGACAGGGTGGGGCCTTGCTGAGCCACGGTCCTTTCTGTCTCCTTGGTCCAGGGCAGTGGAGAGCAAACTCAGAATAAGGCACCCCAGGAGAAAGGGCAGAGGGAGACTGTGTGCCTGTGTGTCTCGGACCTGCTGACCCCCTCACCCGCGGGGAGAGGCGGAGAACTGGGGACGAGCGACCTGTGGCCACCCACCAACACTAGATCAGACACGGGCTCGAAGGGAGCGGCGGAGATGCGAGGAGGGCCTGGTGGCCGCCAAACACCCTACTCCACGGTCACTTTCCTGGTGGGACAGCCTCAGCACCAGGCCCCATGTGCCGAGCACCTGCTCCATCCAGCGCCCAGGAGACCAGGACAAGGAGAGGAGCGGGAAACAGGAGAGCTGGCGCAGGGGCCCTGCCAGCTTCCCGAGGCTCCCATATGGGTCCCCACCTGCCCCAGCAGCCAGGGTCACTGCTGCAGCTGGCGCAGTGGCTTGGGCGCAGGTCCTGGCACTGACGAGCAGGGGTGGGCCCAGCGCCCCACAGCAGGAGCAGCCTGGGATGGGGGCCAGGCCTTGAAGTCCAAGCAGCCCTTCCCTGGAAGCTGCCCCACAAGTAGGGGCACAGGGCAGGTGGCTTCTGTGAATCCCACAAGCTGGGGCACGGGGCAGGTGGCTTCTCTCCCACGCCTGGACCTCTTACAGCCTGTTACTGCGAGTCCTGGAGCTCCTTAGCTTTCTGTATGATCTGGGAGACGTCACTGACAGGGTAGTCCTGAGAGGAGGAGAAGCCACGAATGGGCCACTGAAGCCAACTCCCTGTCACCACGCCCACACCCACCCACCCACAGGACCTGTACCCAGGCCAGCCTGGGCCTCACAGGCCCACAAAACGCCAGATGCCCCACACATCCCACCTAAGCCCCATGTGTCACTAACACCACAGCACCAGCCCAGGGCCTCACAGCCATTCCTAAAGCCCAAGAGCCTCCTCACCTCCCGGCACTGACAGCTGAGGCCAAGGCACACACAGCAGGCCACATGACCCCAAGGTGAGAGGCAGAGCCGGGCGACTGAGCCCAGCCCATCATGGCCACCAGGGGCTTCTAAGAGCACGCGTGCCCGTCCAGCTCCAATACCTGCAGCAGCCGCATGTTGACGATGAAGTCCCCTTCTAGCAGCTGCTCCCGGATCAGTCTAAGGAAGACAAGCAGCCACGTGTGGGCCCTTCCTGCACCCCACAGCCAGCAGGGCTCCTCCCACACCCCCACAGCCAGCAGGGCTCCTCCCCAGAGTGTAGCAGGACCAGCAGCCTCGTGTGGGCCCTTCCCGCGTAGCCCACGGGATGTCACTGCGATGTGCTCACATGAGCATGGCACAGCAGACGAGCAGCAGGAAGTCAAAGCGGCGGTCGTCGGCGAAGAGCGAGTCCCAGAGCCGGATGACGTCGGGCAGCAGGAACTCCTGGGACAGCAGCAGCGTGAGCCAGCGGAAGGCGAAGAACTGCGGCTTGATGTTCTGCTCTTGCTGGGGAGGGAGGGAGCGAGCTGACCGCCTGCCGGATGTGCTGCCCAGCCCAGCCCAGCCCAGCCCGAGGCGACCTTGAGGGGCAGCTATGACAGAAGCTCCAAACGACTTTTCTACATGCTCTTGAATTTAGAAATGACAGGACATCGTCTCAACCATCACATGGGGTGAGAGCTGGCCTCAGGGCATCACGGCTTAAACTGTGATGCCAGCAACGTACACGGGCACCAGACTAACCCGGCTCCCTGCTAATGCACTTGGGAAGCAGTGGAGGGCAGCCGAGGCCTTGGGCCTCTTCTCTGGAGGGCGCGCCCAGCTGCTGCAGCCATCTGAGGAGTGACCAGCAGACAGAAGGTCTGTCCCTTCCTCCCTCTCCCTCTCTCTGGGAGAACCCCACCTAGGAACCTAGGGCTGAATTCCTGGCCCCCCGTGTCAGTCCCAGGAGGGCCCATCTGAGACTGTCGGGCAGTGGATGAAGCTCTTTTTCTCCCTGCTTCTGGTTAACATACAAACCACTGCAGGCTTTGTACCGGGGGCCGGGGCTCTCAGCAGACACGCCAAGCCTGGTCCTGCGTTGGGCGTGTTCCACGTGTCACCTTACTTGGCCCCCACCAAGTAATGACTAGCAGCAGGCAGGACTCTTCTGGTGAGCCCGGGAATATTTTAACTGGAAAAGCTCTAGGGTGTGCAGCAGCAGGAAGCTGGATCAGAAGCAGAGCTGTGCCTGAACCCAGACACCAGAATACAAGACTGGCACCACGAACAGCGTCTTGAAATACTGTGCCACGCCCCGACTCGCATGCCTGCTCACAGAAGTGTTTGTTTTTTTAAAGATTTATTTATTTTTATTGGAAAGGTAGATATACAGAAAGGAAGAAGATCTTCCGTCCCATGATTCACTCCCCAAGTGATCGCAATGGCCAGAGCTGAGCCAATCCAAAGCCAGAGGCTTCTTCAAGTCTCCCATGCAGGTGCAGGGTCCCAAAGCTTTGGACTGTCCTCGACTGCTTTCCCAGGCCACAAGCAGGGAGCTGGATGGGAAGCTGAGCTGCCAGGACCAGAACCAGTGCCCATATGGGATCCCGGTATGTTCAAAGCAAGGACTTTAACCGCTACACTATCTCACTGGGCCCAGAAGTGTGTTCTGAAATACCCAGGAACTGGCACCAAATCATTCTCAAAGTTACCTCTATTTCTTTTTAAATGCTTAATCGCTTTTTCTTCTACTTAAATGGCAGAATAGCACAGAGAGGAAGCCATACTTCCTTCCACTGGTTTACTCCTGCCACAGCTGAGACTGGGCCAGGCTGCAGCCAGGAGCCCAGAACTCTACCAGGTTCCCCTGACAGGTGCTGGGGGCCAAGGACTGCAGCCGGAAAGCAGGACACTGGACAGAGAAGCCAGGACTTGAAAACAAGTGCTCCAATGTGGCTGTGGGCATTCCCACATTAAGTGGGTTAAGTGGCAGCTTAACCCACTGTACCACGAGGCTTGCCACTAGCTCCCTCTGTATTTGCCCCTTAAGTGAAAAACAAAATTAACTGGACTTGGCGCAATGCTTCAACATGCTAATTCTCTTCCTTCAAGTGCCAGGATCCCATATGGGTGCTGGTTCAAGTCCCAGCTGCCTCACTTCCCATCCAGCTCCCTGCTTGTGGTCTGGGAAAGCAGCCCAAAGCCTTGGGACCCTGCACCTGTGGGGAGACCCAGAAGAAGCTCCTGGCTCCTGGCTTTGGATCAGTGCAGCTCTGGCCATTGAGGTCACCTGGGGAGTGAACCAGCGGACAAAGATCTGTCTCTGTCTGTTTCTCTCTTTAGTGTATGTACTGCTAAAACGAGCACTCTCCTCTCTGTAAATCTCATTTCCCAGTTAAAAAAAAAACCTTTAAAAATAAATAAGATTAATTGCATTTTGTCAGACTATAAACAGGCTTAACTCACTTGATGTCTGCTAAGTGTTCCGCACATCAAGCCTGGCATACAATGGGCACTGCTCTCACCTCCCTGTGCCCTCTCTTCAGCTGCCTGGCCCTCCAGGCCTGCCTCAGCACTTGGGCTGGTGTCTCCTGGCACATAGGACAACAGCCCGAAGCAGCAGCAGTGGTGGCCAGGGCCTCACCAGCTTTAGGTAGAGCTCCAGGTCCTTCTCCTTCAGCGTCGAGTACACCTTCTCCATCTTATAGGTGATGCCGCACTGCGAGTCATCCAGGCTCTTGATGAAGTTGTCCTGGATCTCGGCCATGAGGTTGGAGAAGCAGAAGAAGGTGTCGGCCTCGGCGTGCTCTAGCGATGGCAGAGAGGGGCGGGGAGGGCACACAGACACAGCACATGCTCGAGTCCCGTCTCTCACTCAGACCCTTTCTACTTTTGAGCTCTGGACAGTCAGCCAGCTGCCAAGACGAGGCCCGGCCCTCCCCTGCCCTTGCCCAGTCTCTAGCCACAGGAAGGTCCCGGGCAATATCCTCTCATATCTGCTCCTCACACTGTCCCCTGTGCAGGCAACGTGTGCCACGCTTGCTGGATGCCATTTTCAAATTATGGTGTCAATATTCTCACATGGCTTCCTGTACATCCCTCTCGGCTCTGCCCCAGGTGATGTGACACTATCCAGAAATTAACAGAGCCAGCGCTCTAGGTGGTCAGCGCCAAAACGGACACCACAGCTAACCCAGGCTGACCTGTTATCTGACAGGGCGTGTGGGCCGGGGGTAGGAAGCCGCCCCATGGGGCACAGCCCGGCTTGTGCTGCTCCAGGTCTGGAGGTCCCGCTGAGGCTGCAGGTGGCTGTGAGCCTCTTACCTTTCCACTCGCTGTTAGGGTCGGTGGCGAAGGTGTAGTAGAGCGGCCCCACGATCTCGTTCATGCCCTGCACATAGGCGATGCCAGGGTTGAGCTTGGCGTAGATGAACAGGATCCGCTCCACCACCTCCCAGTGTGCCTCGCAGCCGCTGGGCGGCACCTCGTACTTGTTCAGGGTCGAGGAGCCAGAGTTCTTGTGAGGGGAGCTCATCTGAGGAGACATGTCCCAGCCAGAGGGGTCACTCCAGGTCCGGGGGAGCACGCCCAGCACACTGTGAGGAATCGGGCAGGGAAATCCAAACCACGGCCACTTGCCAAAATCTACCCTTTGCTAAGCTGACAAAAAGCTAGGACGACAGCCACCTCCAAGGTGACACAGTGATGGGGACATGCCCTGGAGGAACTTTCTGGAGGAAGGCGGGCCAATGCCACGGCCGCACCCACAAGGAAGAATGTACCTGGCTGTCCACGGATGCCCCTTGTTATGCTGTCATGTCCTGGTAAACACATAGAGGGGCGAGCTGTGATCCTGGCACCAGCTTAGAATCTACAGGGTCAAGGTCAGAGTTGTAGCATTGCAGGTAAAACCACAGCCCATGAAGCTACCGTCCCATATAATTGGCCAGTTCATGTCCCAGCTGCCCTATTTTCAATCTAGCTCCCGACCAATGCCTGGGAACGCAGCAGAAATAAGCCAGCTCCTCCAGACCCTGCCACTCACCTGGGAGCTCCAGGTGAGGCTCCTGGCTCCTGACTTCAGCCTGGCCTAGCACTGGTGCTGCGTAACTCTTTCAAAATAAACAAATCTTACACAACAAAGCAGCACACACAGGGTCACTTGCAATGCCAGCAGCATTCCTCCTAGCGCACTTGGGCAATCAGTGGAGGACGTCCCACACGCATGGGCCCCTACCATCCATCCGAGACCCACATGGAACTCCTGGCTCTAGCCTGGCCCAGCCCTGGCTGTTGCAGCCATTTAGGGAATGAATCCATGGACAAAAGTTCTCTCCATCCTTCTCTATTGTTTTCCCTCTCAAATATAAATAAGAGTTAAAACAAAACAAAACAAACAAACAAAAAAAACAGAAGGCAGGGGTGTCTTCCATAGCCTCCATTAGCGGGCCTGGGTTCAACAGCCAGGCGTGTTCCCTGGTCCAGTCAAGCAGGGCAGCAGTGATGGGCCAAGGCACTGGACACCTACCGCCCACAAGGCAGACCATTTACCGCATGGTTTCAGCCGCACTCATCTCAGCAATGCCAGGGATCTGGGAAGTGAACCAGCAACAGTGGACTACCTCTCAAAATAACAAGCACATCCACAGCCACTACAAGCTGAGAGTACGCCAAGCTACAACTGCTCTGTGCACAGCGCCCAGCAGGAGCAAGGCCAAGGCTGACCCGGCCCTGGGGCATCTGGCCAGCTCATCGCTGCTTGCGAGCAGCACCCCATACACAGGGTCTGGTTCAAATTCCAGGGTCAGCCCTTCTGACCCAGGTTTCCAAGGATGTAGGGGCTGGGAAGAGGCAGACTTCCCAGAGCTCAAACACTTGGGTCCCTGATACCCACGTGGGAGAGCTGGCTGGAGTGCCCAGCTCCTGCCCACGGCCCAGTCTGGCCCTGGCTGCTGCAGCCATTTGGGGAGTCAAGCCCTGCCCCTCACCTGGAGGACTCCAGGAGCTCACCGAATAGCCTCCTCTGCGTGTGTCCCTCTCACTAATGCTGCCACACTTCCGTCCCTGCCCTGCTCAGCACCCAGGACAGGCCCACCACAGCCCCCTCCCCCTGACCTCTGCTTCCCACTCCTCCCTGCCTGCATCTGTGCTCACTAGACCCTGGGTCCTGAACACACAGGATGCCTACTGCTGCACGCCTGGAGCTCCTGGGCCCACCCCCTGGAAGGCTCACCCTCAGTCCCTGGGCTCGGCCAGCCCACTTCCTGGGAGGCTTCTCCGACGCCTACCTGCACCGCTCCTGGCACACTTCCTCACATCTGTCATTACTTTCTTTTCTTTCCTAATGTTTCGTTTGTTTATTGGAAGGCAGTCAGAAAGAGAGAAAAAGCCTCCATGCAGAGGCCAACTCCATCATGATCCCCACGCGGGGCAGGGGCCAAGAACTAGGGCATCATGTGCCACGCAGCAGCAGGAAGCTGGATTAGAAGCAGAACAGCCAGAACCACAACATGAGATGTCGCTATCGCAAGTGTCCAGTTGACAGGACAAGCCACAGCACTGGCCCGCTGATTTCTTAAAAATGTTTATTGGGGGCGCCAAGAGCTATGGCCTAGCAGCAAGGGTGCTTGCCCTGAACACGCTGGAATCCCATATGGGCATAGGTTCTAATCCCTGCAGCTCCACTTCTCACCCAGCTCCCTGCTTGTGGCCTGGGAAAGCAATCAAAGATGGCCCAAAGCCTTGGGACCCTGCACCTGTGTGGGAGACCTGGAAGAGGCTCCTGGCTCCTGGCTTCGAATTGGCTCAGCTCCGGCCATTGCAGTAACTTAGGGATTGAATCATGGGATGGAAGATCTTCCTCTCTGTCTCTCCTTCTCTCTGTCTCTCTTCCTCTCTGTATATCTGACTTTGCAATACAAACAAATAAAAACTAAAAAAAAAAGTTTCTTGGGGGTGGCATGGTGCCATGGCAAGTTAATCCTGTCTGGAAGCAGTGGTATTCCTTATGGGCACCAGTTCCAGTCCTGGCTACTCCACTTCCCATCCATCTCTCTGCCTGTGGCCTGAGAAAGCAATCTAGGTGGCCCAAAGCCTTGGGACCCTGCATCTAGGTGAGACCCGGAGGAGGCTCCTGGCTCCTGAACATCTCAGCTCTGGCTGCTGTAGCCACTTGAGGAGTGAACCAAAGAATAGAAGATCTTTCTAAATTTGCCTTCTCTCTATAAATCTTTCTAATAAAAATAAATAAATTTTTTTATTTTATCTTTTGAAAGATTTATTTTATTACAAAATCAGATATACAGAGAAGAGGAGAGACAGAGAGAAAGATCTTCTGTCCCATGATTCACTCCCCAAGTGGCTGCAACGGCTGGTGCTGTGACAATCCAAAGCCAGGAGCCAGGAACTTCTTCCAGGTCTCCCACATGGGTGCAGGGTCCTAAAATATTGGGCCGTCCTCGACTGCTTTCCCAGGCCACAAGCAGGGAGCTAGATAGGAAGTGAGGCTGCCAGTATTAGAACCAGCACCACATGGGATCCCGGCGCGTTCAAGGCGAAGACTTTAGCCGCTAGGCCACGCTGCCAGGCCCACAAAATAAATAAATATTTTTTAAAAACACCTGCCTTGGGCCCGGCGCGATGGCGCAGTGGTTAAGGTCCTCGCCTTGCACGCCCGGGATCCCATATGGGCGCTGGTTCTAATCCTGGCGGCCCCACTTCCCATCCAGCTCCCTGCCTGTGGCCTGGGAAAGCAGTCGAGGACAGCCCAAAGCTTTGGGACCCTGTACCCGCGTGGGAGACCCGGAAGAGGCTCCTGGCTTTGGATTGGCATAGTATCGGCCCGTTGCGCTCACTTGGGGAGTGAATCATTGGACGGAAGATCTTCCTCTCTGTCTCTCCTCTCTGTATAACCACCTTTCCAATAAAAATAAAATAAATCTTTTTAAAAAACAACAAAAAAACACCTGCCTTTCAAATAAAAAATAAGTCTTTAAAAATGTTTTCTTATTTTCATCCATTTGAAAGGCAGATGGCGGAAATCTGCTCTAAATTTCACACCCTAAATGGCTGAAACAGCCAGGTGGGGTCAGGCGGGGCCAAGCGGGGTCAAGTACTGGGGTGACACTTGCTGCCTCCCGAGATGCTACAGCAGGACGCTGGATCAAAACCAAGTCGGTAGGGGCTCGAACACAGGGACATCAGTACGGTACATGGTGTGGCCAGCAGCGAGTCCACCTGCTGTGCCACACCCCCACCCCAGCTCTCTCAGTGCCATCTCCAGGAGGGCCTGGCAGCATGGCTCAGCCACACGGTCACGTGTGATCAGAACACAGGCCCAATCTCCAGGCAGAAGCAGCAGGTGGGTCCCTTAGGGGAGCTGCCACACCAGGCAGGGGAGGGCTTGCAGGGCCACCCAGGGGCCACCCACGGTCCCCATGCTGCCTCTCACGTTTGTCACTCCACTCCGATTCCGTGCCACTGTTTGGGATTTTAGTGTTGTCTGCTCCACGCGCTTCCGAAGGGTCTCAAACTCATTCTGGGGGTCCAGGATGAGGAGGCATGGGTACTCGGTGGCACTCTGGAAGAAGGACATGTCGGGGCACAACCTCCTGTGGGGACAGAGAATCCCAGGACTCAGGGAGAGGCTCCGCTTTGCTGCCCAAAACCCCAGCATCCTCCAGAGCATCCTTTTTTTTCAAAAAAGATTTTATTTTTATTTAAAAGTCATATACAGAGAATGGGAGACCAAGATCTTCCTTCTGTTGATTCACTCCCCAAATGGCCACAACAGCCAGAGCTGCACCGATCCGAAGCCAGGCGCCTGGAGCCCCCTTCAGGTCTCCTGAGCAGATGCAGGGTCCCAAGGCCTTGGGCCATCCTCGGCTTTTGGGCCGTCCTCGACTGCCTTCCCAAGCCACAAACAGGGAGCTGGATGAGAAGCAGGGCTGCTGAGACATGAACTAACGCCATGTGGGATTCCAGCACGTGCAGGGTGAGGACTTTAGCTGCTAGGCCACCACACCTGGCCTCAGAGTCTCTTTGTTTTGTTTTTTTAATCACAACATTTTATTTAAAAAGCACTACAGTAAAAAAAAAAGAAAAACACATCTGGCCTAGCATCCAGCAGTTTGGTGCCTGAGGCCAAGCAGGGGTAGCTGGAGTAGAGAGCTTAGTTAGAGCCTGCCTCGGCTCCTGGCTTTGGTCTGGGTCAGTCCTGGCTGCGGTGGGCATCTGGGAGTGAACAGCAGGTGTGAGCCGTTTGTCACATAAAAGTAAGCCACCGTGTGGCAGTGGCAGGTGGACACACGGGTGTATTCCTCAGGGTCTCACAATGCTGCTCCCCCTGAAAAAATGGGCGTCTTCCCCAGGGACCCCCCGCCGAGTTGGTGCTTCCCAGGCTAGGAACAGCAACAGCGCCGGCTGGCTCAACAGCATGAGCTCTGCCCCGGAGCACTGCATGACGGACACAGCAACATGTCACCAACGGAGGAAAACAAGCCAAGGCACAGGCTCTGCAGTGACAGCAGGTTTGTGAAACACACCAAGTGCAGAACATACTCGTGCTCCGTGCTGGCACGCAGCACACACAGTGGCAGGTGCTCAGGAGCTCTGCGTGGGGCACACCAACTGAAACCCCATTCATCTCCCCAGGCCCACGCCAGCACCAGCACCAGACGTGGCTCTTCTTCTTTTATTAATATTTATCTATTTGAAAGACACAGTTAACGGAGAGAGCTCTTTCAGCCACTGGTTCACTCCCCAGATGACCACAGCCGCCAGAGCTGAGCCAGACGGAAGCCAAGGGTCAGGAGCTTTCTCTAGGTCTCCCAAGCCAGTGGGCCACCTTCCACTGCTTTTACCAGGCCATTGGCAGGGAGCTGGACAGGAAATGGATCAGCTGGAACTTGAACTGGCATTCACAGGGAATGCTAACAACGCAGATGGCAGCTTTACCTTCCACACTCTAGCACCAAGCCCAAGACATGGATCTCTGCTTTAGATGTCTATTTGAAAGGCAGAGCAACAGAGAGACCCGCCAGGCTGCCTGACTCCTTGTCCAACACACTGGGGAAGCCCATGTTTTTGCTCTTTAGAAAAGTAGCAAAACACTATAGCTCGGGCCTGGTGGCGTGGCCTAGCAGCTAAAGTCCTCGCCTTGAACGCGCAGGGATCCCATATGGGCACTGGTTCTAAGCCCGGTAGCTCCACTTCCCATCCACCTCCCTGCTTGTGGCCTGGGAAGGCAGTCGAGGAAGGCCCAATTCCTTGGGACCCTGCACCCGTGTGGGATACCCAGAAGAAGTTCCTGGATCCTGGCTTCAGATCAGCATAGCATCGGCTGTTGCACTCACTTGGGGAGTGAATCATTGGACAGATCTTCCTCTCTGTTTCTCCTCCTCTCTGTATCTCTGACTTGCCAATAAATACATAAATCTTTTTTAAAAATACTATAGCTCATTATTATTATTTTTTAAATACATGTGTGACTTTATCACTGCCCCACACAGATCAACTCCAAGGTTACCTGCCTCCTGCACGGCCTCCGGCACCTGGAAGGCCTCGTGGCCATCTCCTCCCCATGGGCACAGACCTCGTTCTCCCAGGCAACCTCCCTACCCCTGAAGCACCGAGTCCATCTCCAGTGGCACTGGTCATGAAAGCTGGGGCCCAGAGGATACGCTGGGCAGACTGAGTGTTGGCCATGCCATCTCCCCCGAGGCTGAGGAGGGCACCACACCTGCTCAGCTCCACCTCCAGTGGGAGCCTGGCCTCTAGCAGGGCTCAATACTTCTGGGATGATGGCCCGAGGAAGCTACACACCCTGGACGTACAAGGGAGATGCCTGGGTAGGCACAGACCCCACTCACCTCCCTCTCCGGCCCCTCTCGCTCCAGGCTCTGGTCTCAACTGCTCAGGGCACAACCCACCCCAGGCCTACAGGCCGTCACCTTATGAACCTGGGCTGGGAACGGACCAGACACGGAGGGCAGGAGGACCCAGGGCAGCCCCTCCTGGGGTGGCTCACCGGACGTCTTTGTCAATCTGCAGCAGCACCTTGTTGTCCTTGAAGTAGGTGTTCCACCGGCTATCGGGGCTGGGGTTGAGCGGCTGTGCAGAGAGAAGCACCTGCTCTGGCAAGGGCCCACCTGGACCCTGGGGAGAGTCCAGCCCCGAGGCCTAAAAGGTGGCCTCACGGCAACAGTACCACCAATCCACCTTTGACCACTAGGAGAGGACGTGAGCCCTGTGCAGGCCTTCTGGGTCAAATGCCCGTGCTGCACTGGGAGGGCCCACTGCCAGAGCTCTACAGGCCTGCAAATGCAAGGGGATCAGTTAACAGTGCATCAGCACTCCCATCCGGAGAAAGGTGTTGAGTCACCACGACAGGAGGGAGCTCAGAACGAAGCTTCCTGCGGACCACAGAGTGGCAGTTCATCCTCACTCTTGCCAGCTCTTTCCTGGGCCCCTTGCTGTGGGGAGGCCAAGGGTTGAGATGGATGGCACCCCTGACGTGCCCAGCACAAGCTGCCGAGGGAGCACTCCCTGGTCGTGGCCATCATCTTTGCCACTGCTGGGCGCAGGGCTCCCCATGAGGCTAGGCCTGGGAAGAAGTCAGCACACGATAGCATCTCCAGGGCTCCGGCAGCCCAACGCACCACAGCAGGGCCAGAGGGCACGGATTCCGGTCAGCCCCAGCCTCTGGCACGGAGGCAAAGAAGAAGGCTGGAGGTGAAGCAGAACCATGCTTGCTCCAAGGCTCTGGTCCCTCCCCATTCTGTCCCCTACTCACGTGGTCTTCAAAGGTCACGTCCTCTCTGGACACGCCCATGTTGGCCTTGGCAATGCCAGGCTGGATAATCATTTCCCTCAGGAACTGAGCATACAGTTCCCTGCAGGAGAAGAGAGAAGGGGTGACTCCCTGAGTTCCCCTGGGGAAGCCCAGGACAACCTGGGCCCCACCACCTCCATGGGGCAGGGAGGGCTCCAGGACCATCCTGTTGGGGCGCTTACCTTTGCCTGGCCAGGATAGAAGCCCACGAGGCTCTCTCCAAGGGCAGGTAGTTCAAGAGGATCTGCACAGAGTAGGGGACGCGGCTCTGGTCCTGCCCCACCACACCCTGCAGGCCCGCGCTAGGCGGCCTGGTAGAGCCCTGAGCAGGCCCTAGCAGAGCCGCCTACTTCTTCACCCACTGCTGCCCTCCTCCTGCCCTGGCCTTGGCTCTCCTCCCACGCTCCCTCCCAAGGGACCGGAAAATCTCACACTCAGAGGGGTAAGGGCTACCACCACCCGAGCCCACAGCTCTGGGCAAAGCAAGGGACTCCACCTCCAGCACATGGGACGGGCCAGGAAGTATGACCTAGTGTCCCATATCCAAGGGGACCCTGTAGGGAACCCCGAGAAGCCAGAAAAACCCGCAATGTCCCCGAAAAGCACCCTCACACAAGCCAGCCAAGGTGCGGGAAGGGAGCAAGGGGCTGGGGCGGGGCCGCCATGCAGGGACCCCCTCCTACCAACACACCCACCTTCCAGCACAGGCACCGCAGTCCACCCTCACAGGGAATGCCTGTGAACACAGCAGCAGAGATCACGGCCCACACCACAGTCTCAGAACCCCCAGCCCACCACCTCAGAGCCAGGCTGTAGGCAGCACAGGCAAGAAGGACTTTTTTGTTTGTTTTTAAAAGATTTATTTAATTTTATAGTAAAGGCAGATCTAAAGAGAGGAGGGAGAGACAGAGTGAGAAAGATTTTCAACCCGCTGGTTCACTCCCAATGGCTGGCTGCAATAGCATGAGCTGAGTTGATCCAAAGCCAGGAGCCAGGGGCTTTTTCCAGGTCTCCCATTTGGGGGCAGGGGCTCCACTGCTTTCCCAGGCCACAAGCAGGGAGCTGGATGGGAAGTGGAGCTGCCGGGACTTGAACCAGCACCCATATGAATCCTGGCGCGTGCAAGGTGAAGATGTAGATTAACTGAGCCATCACGCCTGGCCCAGGAAGTACTTCTGGGTGGGGGTCTAACCTACTGCACCACAGCATTGGTCCCTCCATATGGATCTCTGGTTCAAGTCCTGGTTGCTCCACTTCTGATACAATTCCCTGCTAATGCATCTGGGAAAGCAGCAGAAGATGGCCCAAGCACCGGGCGCCTGTACCCACGTGAGAGATTTGGAATAAGCTCCTGGCTTCGGACTAGTCCAGTTCCAGCCACTGTGGCCATCTGGAGAGCGAACCAGCAAATCAAAGAACTCTTTCCCTCTCTCTCTGCCTTTCAAGTAAAAAAATAATAGATAAATCTTTAAAAAAAAATTTCTGCCAGCACAACTTCTGGACTGGATACTAATTCAGTAATAGGTTTGCGTCCAGGGCCCGGGCTGTACCCACAGCAAGCCCAGTGTCCTGGTAGTTCATCCGAGGGCAACAGCTGCTCATCCCAGAGGTTTCCTCCTCAGATCAGCCTCGACCAAGCACCCGCCCTTCTAGCCCTGGATACACAGTGATGGCCCCGGGACGCTGCCTGCCTGGCTCCTACGCCGAGACAAAATGACACCAGCAGACGTCAGCCTGCTCCTGGGAAAGCCCCAGAAAGCCAAGAGCCGCACCTGTTTATTCCCAGCGCAGAGCTGGACATGAAAGGATTTGAGATACATAAACCAAGCTGCCTGGGGGATGCGGGCCGTGTGGTACAGGGGCTGAGACACTGGACAGGTGTGTCCACAGCCCACAGTGCAGTGCCTAGCTGCCCAGGAGGCAGCAGGTGCCAGCTCCACAAGTGGCTCTGCCACCCCTGTGAGAGACCTGGAATGGGTCCTGGCCTTGACCTGACCTAACCCTGGCCATTTAGAGTGTTTTGGTGAATGTAGGAGCTGGCTGTTTCTCTCTCTCAAACAGAGAAAAACGTAAAAACTAACCACCTATGCATGCTTAGGGCTGCGTGCTTTCGAGACGCAGCTGCGCTGGGATTTCTCTATAATCCCAGGGAGGGAAGGGCAACCCCATGGCTTCACCTCACAGGCAAAAAATTCTCAGGGGGCTTTTAAAATTAAAAGACATGATTTTTATTTCTTGAAATTTATTTGAAAGAGACCCAAAAGTCAGGGAGAGAGAGCTCTTGTGATCTGTTGGTTCACTCCCACAGTGTGTGCAGCAGCTGAGGCTGGCCAAGCTGGAGCCTGGAGCCCTACATGCCATCCAAGGCTCCACGTGCGTGGCAGGACTCCAAGGACCTGAGTCAGCACTGGTGGCCTGCCGGAATGCACATCAGCACATCAGCATGAGAGCAGAATCACTAACCCAGGCACTCCGGGGCAGAACACACATGGGCGTTGCAAGCAGGGGTCTTAACAAAGGCACTCAAGCCCACCCTAATCAGTTTATTTGGATGCAAAAAAGGGTGTATCCATTTCACTCATAATATGCATTAGTCTGTCTCTAGAATCTGTTAGGCCAGGGCCTTGCACACAGAGTCTCTAGCCCGAACTGACCATCACTCATTACCTGCCCTCAATGACCAAAGACACACCTGTCAGGATCTCTGTCACAGAGTCTCCTGCAGCAGCTGTCCCTGTGGCTTCTCTGGTGACCCCCCTGCCCTGGATCTGCACAGGGTTGGGGGCGCACAGGAAGACTCCTGGCCAGCCAAATGGCAGGGGCGGGGCGGGGCCAAAGGCTGCGCCAGCAGCTGAGCCGCCTCGGTGGGGTGGCTAAGTCAGTGTCTAAAGCTAGAATGTCATCCTGAACCAAAGTCCACCGTGGGCCCAGCCGTTGAGCCCACAAAGGGCTGGCAGTGAGGAAGCGGCTGCAGAACGAGGAAAGGCCTGCCCCAGACCTCCTCACCGCTCCAGCCCCCATCCAGGCGTCTCCCCAGTGACCCTCAGAATGCTAACAGTGGCCAGGGCTCTGGGGCGGATGCCTCAAGGCTTACCGTCCATGTCCACAGACCCCAGCAAGGGCCTCCCAAATCAAGCCAACCCCTCCCCCACAACACACACACCAAAGGCAGGGGTGGCCTGGGGCACTGTGCCCTCCACCCTCCCCACATGCCCCACTGGAGGAGGAGCAAGCCACAGCTCACCACTGAAGCTGAGCTCCCGCAGCTTTCCCAAGGCGATCGATGGCTCCTTTAGCACATCCTGGAAAACGGCAATCCTGGAGGGGGGATAGCGGGAGGATGGGGCAGCTGCAGCCTTGCCACCCTACCCCACTGCAGGCACCCCGCGCTCCCTCACTCCCCACCCCAGCCGCAGCCCGTCTCTTCCTCTCCTTCCGGACAGAAGATGACAAAATGCAGGGCAGCCGTTGTGGTTCTGCACACCAACTGCTGCCCACATGCCCCACACCAGCAGGAAGGCGCCAGTTTCCGCGAACGTCCCAGGGCAGGCAGAAGCTCATGGCCTGGGGAACTGGAGCGCCTGTCGCCCAGAACTCACTCTCTGCCACTCTGCCCCTCAAAGTAAGTCAAATAAATACTGGCAACGCTCAGGCGAGGAACAGGTCGGGGGAGCCAAAAGCCTACAGTTCCCCCTCCTTCTCTGTGCCCAGAAAACCAGAACCGTGGCAAAGACACCTGTGTTCTTCAAGCAACCCCGCTAACTCAGCAAGCTGGCCCAGCCCCCAGCACCGCCCGCTACCTGAACTCTGCGAACCCTAGGAACCAGGAGGAACCTGATCCGCCAGCCACGAGCTCCTGCCAGCTCCCCAGACTCAGAAATGAACCCCAAGGCAAGATCGCAGGGCCCGCCCCCTGGCAAGGACAAAACGTTAAAAATAATAATAACAATAAAATTTTAAAAGTCCTACGGGGAACTGGGAAGTGAGCAAAACTGAGCCAGGGCTGCAGGATGAAGCGGGCGCCTGGAGGGGCAGGTCCTCGGGTAAGGAAAGACCAGGGGGCTTTTGCAGAAAGAGGGGGTGTGTGGACAAGGGGTGTGGAAGGGGAGACAAGCTGGCGGGGCGGGGCACCGAGGGAAGACACCTCCTCCCAGAGCGGGCGATCCCGGGGTCCGGGGGCGGGAGTGGGGAGAGCGGAGGACACTAGAGCTACAAAGTAGGCACCGAGACCTTCTGCGGCAGGGACCCCGCATTCCCGGCTCTGCGGGGCACGAGGGGCGTCCTGGCCTGCAGCGGTCTGGCGGGGTGGGCACCAGGGACCCCTTACCGGCTCTTGTGCAGACTCGACATGGCGTTGGCTTACGGACCTCCTCTCCGGCCCCCCACACAGCCAGCCGCCACCACCGCCTCGGCTGCCACCGCGGCCCCCGAAAAGGGACGCGGGGCGATCGGCCAAAGCCTCCCAGCCGGAAACCTCACCGCGGGCATGCGCGCTCCGCCGCGCTCGGCCCCGCCCCTCTGGGTCACGTGCAGACGCTCTCTTGCCCCGCCTCCTCCTCCCGACACCCACCTGGCCGCAGCCAACCAGAGCCCCGGGCCCCGAGGGCGGAGCCTGGGGGCGACGGACGCCAGGCCACGCCCTCAGGTCCGGCGTCGCCACACCCCCAGGTCCTGTGTCTTGGGCGGAACATGGGATGGACGGAACGCTGGGCCACGCCCCCAGGCCAGCGCAGTGGGCGGAGCATGGGGGGACGGACGCCCCCAGACGGCGCCGTGGGTGGGACCTGGGAGTGATGGAGCGCCAGGCCTCCAGGGGCGTCACGTGACAGCGCCCGAAGTGTGTTCCTTGGCTCAGGTTCCTGGTGCCCTGTCTTCCTCGCCAGCCTCACCTCACCCCATCCCACCTGGCGAGATCGTTTCTATTTCCTCAAAACTATAAGGCCCCTGGGTTGTCTCGTTCACAGCTCAGGCCTCCTGGTCCCTGCTAGTAACTCCGAAGGCTAGATGCCCGAGGAGGGACCAGATGGAGAAAGAGACAACGTGTTGGTGTGTCCTTGACGCTTAGAATTTCATAAACCGTGGAATTGACGTCGTTTTACCAGAACTCGGGACAGTAAGAAAGAAAATGGAGATGAATAGTAAAAAGGGGAGAAGGTGCTGTGGTGAAGCAACCTAGGACACCGCCTGGGGTCCCTTCATGATGGTGATTCGAGTCCTTCACTTCCCATCCAGCTCCCTGCTTGTGGCCTGGGAAAGCAGTCGAGGACGGCCCAAAGTCTAGGGACCCTGCACCCACGTGGGAGACCCTGGGGAGGCTCCTGGCTCTTTGCTTCAGATAGGCTCAGCTACAGCACTGTGGTCCTTTGGGGAGTGAAGGACTCTGTCTCTCCTTCTCTCCATAAATCTAATCTGCCTTTCCAATCAAAATAAAGAAGTCTTTTAAATATGCATATTCAGAGTGAGCATTGGAGCACAGCTGCTTAAGGCACTATTTGGAACGCCTGCCCCCGAGACCAGTGCTGGCTGGTGCTTCCAGGTCCCTTTTTATTGCTCCGAACATTTCATTTCGTTGACACTGTTGGTTGTCTGACTTTGATGGACTTACAAAGTTGTCTCCAGTTTGAGGATGTTACCAATACAACTCCTGCAGACAGTCAGCAACAAGTGTTTTGCCTAGTTCTAAGGCAGACAGACCATTCGATCTCCTCTGTCTGGGTCCGACCAAGAGCCGGGATCCAGGAAGCTGACCGTATTCTCCCACATGGTGTCAGGAGGCAGGCACTTGGGCCATCTGTTGCTGCTTTCCCAGGGACATTAGCAGGGAGCTGGACCGGAAGCAGAACAACAAGGTTTGCAGTGTGCCATGCGGACATCCCAAGCACAGACAACACCTCCCTCCCTTGAACCGAAGTAACAGAACGCAACTTATCACCTTCACATTCTCGTGCAGCTCAGTCAGTTTGAGCACGTGCCGGGCTAAGCCCCTACCTGGAGCGCCAGTGTGCAGAGTCAGGAAGGAAAGAAGTAGTAGTTAGGGCCTTTGGTTCTTGCTGAAGTTATTATTAAGATCCTTTTTATTTTTATTGCAAAGTTAGGTATACAGAGAGGAGGAGAGACAGAGAGGAAGAACTTCCATCCGATGGTTCATTCCCCAAGCCGATGCAACAGCTGGAGCTGAACCCATCTGAAGCCAGGAGCCTGGAACTTCTTCAGGTCTCTCATGCAGGTGCAGGGTCCCAAGACTTTGGACCATCCTTGACTGCTTTCCCAGACCACAAGCAGAGAGATGGATGGGAATCAGGGCTGCCAGGATTAGAACCAGCATCTTGCAAGGTGAGGAATTTAGCCACTAGGTTACCAAGCCAGGCCCAGATCTTATATTTTCAAAAACTGACTTCAATAGGCCAGTAGCGACACCTGTCAGGGCTATTGAGATCAGTAACACCCTCCGAACACTCTTCCTCAGACCGTTCCCCATCCCAGGTGCTGATGTAATATGACAGGAAGGAGTGGCCCCCTTCCCTTCACTCCCAAGGGACACCAGCCTGAGACATTTGTCCCACCCACTTCCTCCTCTGCACCTTAACCCTTCCTGCTTTCATCAAAGGCCCACTTGGGCAGGCGTACATTCCTCTCAACCATGTAAACAATGTTAAAAAAATAATTACAAACCCTCCAAAAATCTATGTGCACTTATCAAAGTGTACACAAAACTGCTTTGCTTGTAAAGCAGTTACAGAAAGAATGAGAAAAAGATCTTGTATGTGTGGGTTCACGCCTCAAATGTCTGCAACACCTAGAGCTGAGCTGATGCAAAGCCAGGAGCCAGGTGTGCTCCTCTGTGTCTCCCACATGGGGACAGGGTCCCAAGGCTTTGGGCCATCGCTTGCTGCTTTACCAAGCATATGAGTAAGGAGCTAGATGAGAAGTGGACTAGCCAGGACACTACAGACGTCCATATGGGATGCCAGGCAGAGGATTAGCCTGCACACCTCTGGCCTCAGATAGGTTAATTAATTTGTGATCATCATTACACAAAGTGCACCTGTATCAAATCCCTTATATAATTTGAATATGTGTAATCTTTATTTGACAAGTATTTTAAAATAAAAAATAGGGTGGAGGCATTGTGGTGCTCTGAGTTGACCAAATCTATCCCAGAAATGAGTCAGAGGCAGATGCTTAGAAGCTGAGGAGTCTTTATTTGCTGACCTGTGGACTGTCCCACCCCACATGATGGGGAGGAGCCCCAGGTAGCTGTGCTCGGGTTCTTAAGCAATGATCAAGTAAGAGCACTGGCTCATGATGGAAGCAATCAACCAAGCTTATGTCAGGTTCTAATGCAGAGGATCCAGTCGATTACAGGCTGCAACATGGATACCCAATCAGTTTAAGCATCATGCACTTTAAACTATCCAATCAGTTAAAGTTGTGTCCCACCTAGTAGTGAATAGCAGAACCAGACAAACAGGTCCTCGCTTACTGCCTGAGCTGTAAAAGGATGAGCAAAGGCTTATCCTGGAATGAGATACCATCTTGTGATAAGCAGGTTCACAACCCTTTGGGTCTTTCCTAGAACCCAAGGTGGTGGCAAAGGTCAAAGGTCAGGTTGTGAACAGGACTCAGAAATACTGGAGAAGACCTAGCCTTCCCGTTGCTGCTTCCTGTTGTCTGGGCTGTCCCAGTGGCATAGTAGGCTAAGACATTGCTTGGAATGCCTGCTTGCCATCTCACAGTACCTGTGATTAAGACCCACTTCAACTTCCAACCCAGTGTGCCCCTGGGAAGCAGCAGGTCACAGCTGAAATACTGGGACTCCTGCCTACAGTACAGAAAACCTGGAGGCTTCCTGCTAGCCTAGGCAGGGGGAGCTGTGAGGATTTGGGGAATGAGCTGTAAGCAGCTCTCTGTTGCCCCCATCCCACCCTGTCTGTCATCCTGGCTTTAGGCTTAAACTATCCTCTCCCAGACCCCTGTCCATCATCCCCTCTCCCAGCAGCCCCCAGACACTTCAGCTTCCTCTGCTACTCGCACTGCCCTATGCAAAGGAGCTTCTACAGTTGGTTTTTGTCTCTGTGTGGATGTCCTGTTTCATGTACACCTTGAGAGGTAGAGAAACAAACTTACAAAGCGGGGAGCAAGCTTTGGGCTGCTGCCAGGGCTCAGCAGGATGATCCTCCACACCCATGGGACACCAGTTCATGTTCCAGCTGCTCCACTTCCCATCCAGCTCCCTGCTTGTGCCCTGCAAAAGCAAGGAGAATGACCCAAAGCCTTGGGACCTTGGGCCCAAGTGGGAGACTTAGAAGAAGCTTGTGGCTTTGGATGACCTCAGCTCTGGCTGTTGCAGCTATTTGGAGAGTGAATCAAAGAAGGAAGAACTTCTTTCTCTCTCTAAGTCTACCCTTCAAACAAAAATAAATACATATTTAGGGCCAAGCGCAATGGCCTAGTGGGTAAAGTCCTCACCTTTAATGTGCCGGGATCCCATATGGGCACCGGTTCTAATCCTGGCAGCCTCGCTTCCCATCTAGCTCCCTGCTTATGGCCGGGGATGGCAGTTGAGGGCAACCCAACACCTTGGGACCCTGCATCTGCATGGGAGACCTGCAGGAAGTTCCTGGTTCCTGGCTTCCTATCCACACAGCACCGGCCATTGTGGTCACTTGAGAAGTGAATCATTGGATGGAAGATCTTGCTCTGTCTCTCCTCCTCTCTGTACATCTGCTTTTCCAATATAATAAATAAATCTTTTTAAAATAAATAAATCCTTAAAAAAAAGTTTGTGCATTATACCCTCTTGATGGAAAATAGAGAACTCTCAGCAGGGACTCACATTGCAATTAAGGGCACCGCACAATAGGCTACTGGCTAAATCTGTCTTGCATCTGCTGAGATCCCACATGGATGCTAGTTCTTGTCCCAGCTACTTCACTTCCCACCCAGCTCTCTGCTTCTGGCTTGCAAAAGCAGCAGAGGATGCCCCAAAGCCCTGGGACCCTGCACCTGCATGCAGAATCTGGAAGAAGCTGATTGGCTCCTGGCTTTGGATCAGCTCAGCTCCAGCTACTGCAGTCATTTATGGAGTGAATCAGCAGATGGAAGATCTTTTTTGTCTTTCCTTCTCTTCTATAAATCTGCCTTTCCAATAAAAATAAATAAATCTTTTAAAAAAGAGTCCTGTTTCGCAGTGTGTTGGCTCCTATTTCTTCTGCATCGCTTTGCCAGCAGGTGCCCCCTTTTCTCTTGCCACGTTGCTAACACACAGAGCTAACCATTGCCCCAAATGCCTGTAGACAGTTCAAGCTGGGAGCTCAAGGGTCAGACTGTGTTAGTTATTTAAAAAGGTTTACGTTCTAGTCCATACGATATTACAATATTATTAAACGCAGCTAATTTCCGCAACCTGGTTCTTTACCGTGAGCTGAAAACACCAGACGCAAAGAGGTATCTTAGGAGGTTTATTGCAGGGG